TGTACCAATAAGAGAAAGAGTCTAAGTTGTTGCAAGAAAAGCAGTTAGGAGATATAAATATATGGAAATAGATATTGTGAAAGTGTACATGTGTCGGTAGTATATTAAGTAGTATTTTGATTTTGAAAGATTTTAAATAATTTAGTTTGGGATTAATAAAGTTATGTGAAATTTTTTGGCTGTTGTTAAAATAGAGCCAAGAGGCTTTCTAGTCAATTTGATAAAAAAAATGAGACCATTCTTGAGTACGGTTTTGAGAAGACCATAGGGCTATATTGTGTGTATTATGTATTTCTTTAGTGAACTATCTTGAAGGGCTATCAATAAAGTTATCTTTCCATGATAAAATAAAGTAAGGGTTATAAGAATTAATATAGTTAAAAGATAACATTGGTGAAGTAGAATGGTTATTAGCAAGTAGGTCTGCAAGATTGTTGAAAGTGTCATCAGAATGAGCTTGAACTTTAAAAAGAGAAAGTTGAATATTAAAGGCTTTTAGGATATTAAGAAGTATATACCAAGAGTTAAATTTGAAGTATTTAGTAAAGTGGGATAATAAAGTAAGAAGTTTATTGTATTTAGATATGATTAACTGTGAATCAGTATAAATTTGTAGGCTAGAGTTACATGAAATAGTAGAAATAACAGATAATATTGCTAATAGTTCAGTCTTATAAAAAGAGGGCCAATTAGAAATTTGAGCAGAAAAATTTTGTATAACTAAGTTGTTATGAATTTGGACCTAGCCAATATCCATAGAGCATTAGTTAGTACCAAGTTGTTTAACAGATCCATCTGTGCAGAAAATAAATTGAGTTTGCTAATACAATCTGAGTAAGTTAAAAAGAGGCTTCATTGTTATGAAAGATTGTAGATATAGGAAAGTTAATAATATTAATTGAGGGTAGCAGTAGTACTTCTAGAGAGTATTTGATATTAGTAGAGTAGATAAGGTCAAATATAGTTTGCATTGAGATTAAGTTGTTTGTTGGCTTTTTTTTTTTCTAGGAACTGGGTAGAAAGGATACAGATACTTCTAGAGTGCAACAACTAGAAATACAATTAGAGTTGAGATTACAACCTTGACAAGGTATACAAGAAATAAAAGGTAGTGGGTAGTGATTAAAAATTGAAGTGTCAATGTCATATTGCTAGTGTGTTATGAAGATAGTATTTGTTTGGTAAAAAGTTCTGCAAACTTGACCAATTACAATTTGCTTATTGTAATAAGATAAAACCCAGAGTTTGCGAGTTTTAGAGATAAAGTTGGTTTGATATACAAAAAAGTTGAAGCTTTTGGGTTGGAAGTGGGGTAGAATAGCATGAGATAAATTGTGTTCAAAAATAGAGTCTTCTAAGTAATTAAACCAGAGTGGTTTTTTGCCTTTAGGAATATATAGGATTCTAAGAGATAAGTGTAGCCAGTCTAACAAGATCTTGTTGTCTGCTAAACAAAGTTGCTCTAAGTATAAGAGCATTTGCATTTTAGTTATTGTTTGAAAGCATTTTATTTAGAGTGCTTAGAAAGAATGTTTTTCAGAGGAGTATTGCTATTATTTATGGTTTTGGGCCAGGAAAAATCTGAATTTGTGTGTATAGAGATATGTAAATAATTAAAAAGTTGTATGATTTTCAAAGTAGTAGTGTATCTGTTAGGGCCATTGATAATAGGGTGAGTGTTGGAGGATATTAGTTGCAGACCAAAGATTGTTTTGGAGTTGTTAAAGTCAAATATGTATTGTAGTATTAAGAGTGGAAGAATTATTAATTCTGTTAAAAAAGTTGCTAGTATGATGTTGTATTTGTATGTCCCAAATATTGTGAATATTATAAAGATTGTAGTTGAGAAGTATGCTGTTGAGAGTAAAGTGAGAGAGATATGCTTTGTGCTTGGCTATAGTAAGGTATTTGCCCAATATTTGGTTGCATTTATAAAGAGAAATTACAACATTGTAAAGCCAGTATTCAGTAGTTGAAATAATAACAGTATTAATGATATAAGTGATTTGTTTATCAGTTATGTTTTTAGCACCAGTGATATTGGCTAACTAAATAACCTTGTCTTGAATTAGTTTGATTTGTAAGGACTGTTTGTTGTTGAGTGTGAACCAGCATCCCAGGAATTTAAAAGGCTAGTGAGATAGAATAGATTGCAAAGTAAAGTTAAGAAATAAAAGGTTAGAAGAGAATTCTTTAGTAATAAATATGTATTTGGTAGAGTTAACTTGAATATTAGCTATTAAATAAAAAGAGGAAGCAGTTTTAATAATGTCTTCAAGTTGTGTTTTGAATTGGGCAATCTATAATATATTGTTCATGTAAGCAAGAACTAAAATAGAGAGTGAATAAGGCTGGTTTGATAAGAAGTAGAGAGTGTATATTTAGAAAAGTGTGAAGATGTTGGAAATAAGAGAGTCCTCCAGAAGAGTGAAGTAATAATTTTATCTTGATTAATACTATTTTTAACTAAGTAAAAATTTTTTTTTTTTTTTTAAAGCCTAGTCATGCCATTACTTTATTATCAGAAATAGGATATACATTTTTACATGTTTTTGTTTTATTTGTAGAATTGTTTACATTATTAATGAAGTATGACTTACTTGGTTACTATATAGCATCTATGTGTGATTATTCCTGTGTATTTAACCTTCTTGAGTCTTAATAGCCCCCATAGATGCCTCATAGTTAGACCTCTGCATGGGCCGGGTAGGGCCAAGTAATAGCAATACCCTAACCCTACCTAGTTGTGTAAGGGCTTAATTTTTAAGCCCTTACCCTACCCTAGAGCCCAAAGTTTAATATCCTAGCCTGGTATATTGGGCCCACAGGTACCTGTAAATTATCTATGGGCCTAACTTCACTATATTCAAAATTACAAGCACTGCTTGTATGTGATATTACTAGTATTTTGGTCTATTATTAAATGATAGCCTAAAGAAAACAGGTTTGATTTTTTAAAAGAGGTGTTCTAAAAAAATAGCCACTTTATTTTTAATACTCAAAGCTTTTAAAACAAATAATCGACACCTTGATATAAATGTAATTAATACAACCCATCTTTTAACATTTAACCAAGCCATAATAAATATTGTTATTCCATTTTTCACTCATATAAACTTAATAATTTTATTTTTTTTTTTTACTTCTTGTTGCTGCAAAGCAACTTTTGCTAATGTTTCCATAAGTTGTTACTGTTGCAACAAAAGATTAATATTGGTAAAATCATTAAAGGGAAAAGCCAACGTAACTAAAGTTGAAGATTTGGCAGTTAGTTGAACAGAATTTTTTTATTGAACTTTTTAGACATTTTAGGTAGTATAATGAAGATTATGATGATACTCAAGCATCACAACCAATAGCGATATTTATAGAATTAAATGCTTTAGCATGATCATTCTTTAATAGATGCTTGAGAACGGCCTAAGTCTAGTATATTATAAAAAGTTTGAGTATGGCATTTTCTTGGCATCACTTATATATTTAGTGAGTATTGATAAACAACTAATAGATACCCATGATACTACCCTAGGCTCTACCTGTTTGTGTGAGGGCTTTATTTTTAAGCCCTTACTCTACCCTAGGGCCCAGAAATCAATACTCTAACCTGGCTCTTATAGTACTATTCACAGGTATCCATGGGTAGCCCAGGCCCATGCGAAGACCTACTTATAGTGCAATAGGGTTTAGCCACCAATTCCCAATTCATCAGCCAGGTTCCACCACCTATATTTTATTCATATATATCCCACATATATACTACTATACAAATCCCACCAATTACCTCTGTCTTTCCCATATATAGCATTACTCTCAAACTGCTTCTTGTATTACTTCCAAATTGGTGTTCTAGAGGTGGGCGTTATTGGTACTTCCAGTTTGGTGTCTCCAGAAAACAATCTGTAAGTATGTCATAGACATCCCAGGTCCCTCCCTTCACAGTATTGCAGTTCCCTACTTGTGCTTCTAGGAGTTTACATTTTACATTGCCAATTCAGGCTACCATCTTGTTTATAGTACTACTATCACTCATAGTATTACAGGAGCTTAGAACTTTAGGACAGGAGTTGAGAACCTCTTTTAAGTACTGCCACAATTCAATACTCCGGGACCCAGTACTTCTGTCATACGACTCTCATGCTGGTTGTACAACTATTATCTACTAGCCGAATTTCTTTTCATACTACCAACACTGGTCGAAAAAAGCCTTATCAGGATGAACTATTAGGCAATGATACTTTGCTAATATTTACCAGATTTAAGAACCCAATTGGTCACAGATTAATAGCACCTTTTGTGTCATTTCCCGACAAATATCAGAAATAAAAAATAAGTACAATTAATAAATTAATCATAAGAATATCAGATCTCCTGATTGCTTTTTGATTTATGGTAACATTTAATTTATATTGAACACTAATTAAAAATTTTATAGTTATATCTAGATAATTAATATATCTATGAAAGTTTATTAATTACTCTATGATTTATATAAATAAGTAATTGATATCGGTTTCTTATCAATAATTTTATAGTCGTATCAGATTATCAATATGTCTATGATATTTTTTTTATATTTGTTTGAAACTTTAACTATTAAAAAAGTCTTTCATATCACTTTTGTTTAATTATCAGGAATAAATCATAATTAAAAGAAAAATCGAATAGTAATCAAGCATCAATTTCATTTTAATAAATAGTTGATATTTTTAAATTTATTTCAATTTAACAATTAACAAATTTATTTAATATTATTAAGCATATTAATATAAATAAAATTATACTACAATAATAAAGACACTATTTTGCTAGGTATAGCACTAATACCTTTTGATTTGAAAATTTTCTATCAGTATTAAGCTTTTACAAACACAATTACTAGCTAATAACATCGTTCTATTATTTTTCCAAACCATTATTACCTAAATAGTTATTATATTAATATAATAATTAAATCATGAATAAATAATTTATAAACTCAATATACCTTCAGCATTATTACTTTAGCTAATTTTGGAAGATTCTAATTGGCCATTTTCTTTGCATATTAGGTTATCTAATTGACTTTCTTCTTGGATAGGAGTTTTTAATCGATTATTATTATAATTATGATCATCATTTTCTACAAAAATAATGAAATATTATTATTTAAATAATTTTATTATTTATAATAAGCATTGCTATATTCTTACCAGCAGAAGTATAACCCAAGAATTGGACTATTATGTTCTCTTTCATCATCAGAATGATAATTTGTAGATATTGCCAATTAAAGGACATTATCTGAGGGTTTTGAAAAGTCAACCTATTTTTTATCATTATACTATCATTCTCTTGACTTTTTTACACATGAGATTTTCTCTCCAATTTTATCTACATGACACAATATTTTCCGAATCTATTAAAAAATAAAAATATATACATAAAACTTATAAAAGCAACTTATAATTAAAGAAGTTGTTTATGCTTACCTGTTTTGATCTCCAGAGCTTGTTATATACATGTATAACATAATTATCCTCATCTTTCTTCTTGTTTAATGGCCGCATATCTTTTGAAATTTCATTATTTGCTAATTCTTAATTAGTTTCAGAAATTTCATCCAAATAGTATTCTCTATTATTCACGATATCTTTTAGGTTATTAATAAAGTTATCATATTGGATCGATTGTGGTATCATTTTCTTGAGAAATCGATCTTTTGTATTAACTATATAGTTAAGACCACGGAATCTTCTGTCCTTTTTTTAATAACAATAAGAAAATAAAAAATACTACAATATCAAAAATGTGATAGTCAATATGTAATATCTACTTTCTTTCTTTTTGAGTTTATTCCCTTTCTTTTTTTTTTCAGTTTTAACCTTTTTCAGATCTTGGCTAATTTTCTAATGTTCATGTCAATGCTGATGATAGTTTTGCAATACTTGTCTTAATTTCATATCAGTAAACCGAAATCTTTTTGTTAATGCTCTACTAATTACTAGCATTGTCTTTTTATACACCTGGCGACAAATATTAGACCAAATATCATAATAATCAAGAGATAAAGAGAAATCGAGACCCAAGTATTTGGAAAACCTCATCCTAAAAAATTAAAATAATAAATAATCTGGTAAGTAATTAATATGCTAGAAAAAAAGAAAAAAGATTATATGAAAAAGTTTATATTGTTGCTCATTCATTGGTTTTATAGCCATGTGGTTCTGGAGAAATGGATAGTCCAGGCTGATTATCATCAATAGGAGAATTGAACAGATGACTATTACTACAACTTCTAGGTAAAAATGAATTACCATGTTAAGATTTAAAATTATATTTATGTTAAGAGAAACCAGATGTATACTTTTTTTTATTCCTCATACGAAAGTTATTATGTTGGGAAAAAGATCCAGATTGACTTCGTTTACAATCTCTACTTCTAATACTATTTCTACTATAACTTCTACTATGATTTCTAGCACGACTTCTAGCATCCCTGCTAAGTGAATTACTACATCTGGCAGGAGAATTGGATGTATGACTTTACCATGATCATTGTGGCTTTCACCACAAGGCTCTGGTGAATTTGTATATCTGCTAGGTGATTTATTAGATTGGAAAGATAAGTTGAAGGAATCAACTGGTGATGTAGTGGTGGCTATTTGTTCTAGTTCTGTAGTAGTAGCTGTTTGTCCTAGTTCTGTAGTTGTAGCTGTTTGTCCTTGTACTTTTTTAAGGTTTTTTATTTTATTCAATAACGACCCACATAATTCCACTTGTTAGATGCTGTGTAATGATTAAAATAGAGATTATGTAGTGTAATGAATAATTAAAAAAAAATGCATAATTATCTGCTATAAGTTACAATATAGATCAACTTACTTTCTATATTCTGTATTTTATTTTTCTTTGAAGTTCTAGAGCAAGAACGTTCTTGGCTTAAAGATCGAGGAGATCTGCTTTTTGAGCGACTTGAATGAGTGTAATATTTTGATCTATGAGAAGTATAACTTTGTGAACATGAGCAGCGATAACTTCATGAATGTGAACGGCGATAATTTTGTGAGCATAAATGATGTCTTCTAGAATAGCTTTTACTTCGTGATGATCATTAATAACGGCTTGAATTTGGAGAAATGGAATGCCTTCTTGATACATATTTGATGTAACAAGCATTTTTTTTTTTTTTGAGTGAGTTCTCAACAAAATTAGCTTTTTTCTTTTTTAAAAAAAGTCTTGAGTAATTTATGTATTAATCTTTTTTTTTTTTACATCATGACTTCAATATAATAATAGATGTACGAGAAGTAAAGTTAATAAAATGAATTAAATAATGGTGAAGATTTAAATATTTTAATAAGTAAATGATTTTTTTCAAAGTGAGAAAGAGTTTGCCAGTAAGGTCTTGGAATGTAGGATATATTTATAGTTTAGGACTATAGAGTGCTACCAAAGGAAAAATAAGACTTCGGGCTTTTAATTTTATCAGCTTTACTAATAATATACATAATTGAACTTTTTATGAGCTAAATCTAATAACTAGTAAATAATAGATTTGAAAGCCCAAAGTTTTATTTTTTCTTGATGGTATTCATATAGAAATTTTTTTTTATTTGAAATATTGCCGAAAATGGTTTCAAATATTCAAAAGATATTATAAGTAAAGGCGGAGCAGAATTTGTATATTCACAAATTTGGGAATTTAATCTTATATTCCAATTCTTACTTTGGACTCACGAACCTAGTGTTATCCAAAGACTAGTTATGCATATTTAAACCTATTATAATTCTATAAGAGATTACTTTTCTATAATATTTATAGTCGTATACATTTTCTTTTTTCTTTTATTTGAACAATATTAAAATAAATTTTCACAATTTATTTATTTATTTATTTTTTTGTATCGAAGATCATAAAGTCAAATATTAAAGGCTTTCATGTTTAAAAAAAGTCATCATTATTTACAGAATTAAAAATTTATTTATTATTTGAACATGTATTAGATGCATTATATATTTTATATTCTAAACTAATTTTTTTTATTAGTCATTTCTAATTATTACATTCGAATCACACAAAGTATATAGTGGAGTCAGATACATAACTGATTTTTGGGATGATGTTAGGGTGGTTTCTTTGTACTTTTCTCTATTTACCTAGTAACAGGGATAGCAATTTTGCTATTAATTGAAAATAAAGTTTGAATGGAGCTCAATAGATATGTATCTATCAAATTCTCTATTCTTACTATAAAACTCAAAAAATAAGCACCTATGGTAAATAAGTATTCTCATAATAAAAAATTATTTTTATAAATAAGCACCATTATAAACTTTAAATTGCTTTTTCCAGTGATCACAAAATTAATTAATTATATTGTCTGTTTTCAAATAACTAGTAAATAAGCATCTCTATTTAAAAAAATGTTGCTTATTTTCGGGATATAGGTTTTATTAATTTAAAGGTTGATCTATTGGGATAAATATTATAAGCTTTACTTTGTGATTTAATATGATGTTTATTTTACTTTGTTGTAATTTTTTTTAATAAATACTTATTGATAAGTCTATAAATATAATATTATTAGAAGTACTGATAGCTCTTTGATATATCAAAACAGTTGTATTTTTATAACCAAAAATTTTCGTAAATAGCTGTCAAAATAAATAATCTAATGATCCTTAAGTGCTTAATCGTTATTACTGCTACAGAAACACAACTAATAAAATTTTCTTATATTTCTTAATTTCGAAAAAAATGACATATAAATCTAGAAAAGTCATTATTAAAAAGACCTCTATTAGCACTTCGAATGCTAGTAGCTCTAATGTAAATAAGGGCAGAAAAAGGTATTCAAAGAGTTGTAAGTGCATTGGTTGCAAAGATGCCTTGAGAAACCCGTGAACTATAAAGTCACACACAACTAAAAGAAAGATATTACCAAAAAATGATACTGAACAAGTTGAAGCTTCAAGCAAAAGAAGCATTCCAACAGGCATTTTGTTTGATCTTATGCAGCTTGAGATGTCTGATTATGAACTTGATAATGAAATAAATCAAGAAGTTATTTCTGATTTATTCAATTTTCTACCAGCAAAAAATAACAAAAGCAAAAGCAAAGGCAAAGGCGAAGCAACGCAAAAAGCTGATAACTGGCAAATTTCTGTTGAATTAATTGATCAATTATTTTCAGATAATATAGTTGTTCTCCTATATAATCACCCTATTTGGCTACCACTTTTTGGTGATTGTATAAAGGGGTGATTAAGTAGAATTCCTTCTATATAATCACATAATATAAAATAATATAAAATAATACATGTAATGTGATTTTAAAAAGATAAAATATGTAATATTTTTATTTAAAATGTCCATTAATTAAATAAAATAAAATTCGATATTTTTACTCAATCTTTAACAATGAATATCTCAATAACTATTAATCTAAATTAACTCAAATTTTTACCATATATAACATTGAAATTCTTATATTATATATATAAATTTCAGCCGATTTGGTTAGGCATTTCTTGAGTAATTGCTTATATACGATAGTCAATGTTTTTTAAAAAATTGATTATCTTATACAAGCGATTACTCAAAAAATACCTGACCAAATCGGCTAAAGTTTTTATAGAAAGTATAAGAATATCAATATTATCTATGGTAAAAATTTAAACTGATTTAGATCATTAGTTATCGAGATATTCATCGTCAAGATTTGAGCAAAAATAGCAAAATTTTTTAATAATTGATTAATATGCTATTTTTACTCAAACTTTGACGATTAATATCTCGATAACTATTGATCTAAATTGGCGCAAATTTCTACCATATATAATATTTATATTCTTCTATTATATATAAAACTTTCAGCCAATTTGGTCAAGTATTTCTCAGAGAATCGCTTGTATACGATAGTCAATTGTTTGAAAAACTTTGACTATAGCATACACGCGATTACTCGAGTAATACTTGACCAAATCGGCTAAAACTTCTATATATAATAGAAGAATATCAATATTATATATGGTAGAAATTTGAGCCAATTTAGATCAATAGTTATTGAGATATTAATCATCAATGTTTGAGTAAAAATAGCAAAGATTTTATAATAATTAATTATTAAAAAAATTTACTATTTTTACTTAAACTTTGATAATTAATATCTCGATAACTAATTATCTAAATCGATCCAAATTTTTACCATAGGTAATATTGATATTCTTATATTTTCTATAAAAGTTTCAACCGATTTGGTCAGGTATTTCTCGAGTAATCACTTGTATCAATAATCACTTTTTAAAAAAATTTAACTATCGTATTCAAGCAATTACTCGAGAAATACCTTATCAAATCGGCTGAAATTTTTATATATAATATAAAAATATCAATATTATATATAGTAAAAATTTGAGCCGATTTAGATCAATAGTTATCAAGATATTCATCGTCAAAGTTTGAGTAAAAATAACGAATTTTATTTATGATTTAGATCTTTTTAAAATTTTAATTAAAGATATTTTTACAAATCTATAGAATTTAAATAAAAAATTTTTATTAATTTGTGATTTTAATGGGGTATTTTTATTAATAAATTAGCAAAAAAACTTTTTTAAAAAATGTGATAGTGATAGTATTATGATTGTAATTATATAAAGGTATTTTTAATATTAAAAAAACGACCGTAAAAATTGTGTGATTATATAGAGTTTGTGATAGTATAGGAGGTGATTGTATGGGAGGACGACTGTAATATTGAAGATAATTGGGAGGACATTAATGATGACAGGTTAAGCGAACATAGTGCTGATGATAATCTGACAGACCAATTTATTAATTTCGATACACCACAAAGTGTGTTTCATAATGATGATTTTGTCAAAAATATTAATGATCACCCTTTCGCATGGATCATTCTATGGCTCTAAAATACCAGGAAAGATTTCGGTTATCTGATGTAACTACTGAATCCTTAATCAAATTTCTCTGATGTCTTGTAATCTTTCTTGGCAAAAAAAATACTTTTACCAACTTTTCAAATTCTCTAAATATGGCATGTCGCATGCTTGGTATTTGTCCTCACATGATTAAATATGTGATATGTGAAACATATTGCAAGTTGTATTCAATTAGTGATGTGTCAATGAAGAAACCAAATCAACGCCCTAATATTAGCAAATACACATTTAAAGACTTTCCAAATCATCTAATGGCCAACAAAAGACAATTTTGTGATGATGATTTGTTCAAAAAAGTTCCAGTCTCAGGTGGCACTTTGTTTTTTTTTTTTAACCTCTTTTATGAGAATGCTCTATGATATAAGTGGTACAATTTATAAACCACTATCAATCTATCCAATGGTTGATTTGAAGCATCAATTACAGCTATTGTATAATCATAAAGATTTTAAAGCAGAATGTAGAAAGTGGGCTGATCGGGCTAATAATTCTAAGAATTTAACAGATATTTATAATGGAACAATTTGAAAAACATTCCAAGATCCGGAGGAAGATTTACCTTTCTTCTGAAAAGAATTATCAGATAGTCACTTGGGGTTAATGCTGAATCTAGATTGGTTCCAACTATTTCAAAACTCTCAATATAGCGTTAGTGCAGTCTATGGGGTGATTTGTAATTTTCCATGTAACCAACGATTTAAACCATCGAATATGTTGACACTGGCATTGATACCTGGACCTAGCGAATCTAAACTGCATTAACTAAACCACTTTTTTAGCATCTTTAATAGATCAATTTGTTGATTTGTAGAATGGTATAGTATTATTTTTTTTTATTAGATTAAGTATTTCTATACTCAATTTTACCAGGAACGGAGTGATGCAATCACGAAGTGTATACCAGGAACGTTAGTGTACCAGGAACGTTAGTGTATGGTTTTACTGGCATCTAAAACGAAGGCAAAATCTTAAAGCTGATTGGTACATATT